GCTGCAGAACCATCAAAGTGGGGAGGCCAACAGCTGTAGGTGCAGGTCAGCCGCAGCAGCTCCTAGCGCGCCCCCGTGAGCCCTGCTGCTGCAGTTGCTGCTGCTGCTGCTGTCTGAGCTGCTGCTGCAGCTGCTGCAGCCGCTGCAGAAGTGGCAAGCATAAGCAGAAGCTGCTGCTCATTTTGAATTCAATTTCTTTGTTTTTTGTGCTGCAGTTGGCGGCTACGATATGGGAATGGGCGCAGGCGCAGCAGCAAGTGAGTGCAGCAGCAGCAGCACAAACAGCAGCAGCAGCACAAACAGCAGCAGCAGCAGCAAGTGCAGCACGCCATGTTTGTTTGCCTGTGTTTGCTGCTGCAGCACCAGCAATGTCCCTCGTCAGCAGCGCACAAGCGGGAGCAGCAGCAGCAACTGCCATTCTTGCTGGTCGAGCTGGACAGACACCTCAGGGCGACATGGGTAAGCAGCAGCAGCAGCAGCAGCAGCCGTAGCGAACGTAACAACAGCAGCCCCAGCAGAAACGCGAGCAGCAGCAAGAGCAGCAAGCGCAGCAGCAGCAACGGTAGGAGCGATAGCACTAGCAGCAGCAGCAGCAGCAACGGCAGGAGCGATAGCACTAGCAGCAGCAGCAGCAGCAGCAGCAGTTTGCTGTTTGTGCTGCAGCAAGCCTGGTTGCTATGGGGCAGCTGACGCCCGAGAAGCAAATGGAGACGAGCCCCGGCAGCAACAGAATTTATGTTGGCAATGTGCCCTTCGGCTTCTCTTCAGAGGACCTCAAGGTTTGCTGCTGCTGCTGCTGCTGTGTGTGCCGCTGCATTAGCATTCGCTGCTGCTGCATTTGCAGCTGCTGTTGCTGTTGCTGCTGTGCTGCTGCGTCTGGATCTGCTGCCTCGTTTGCAGCTGCTGTTGCTGCTGTGTCTGCTGCTGCATTTGCATCTGCTGCTGCTGTTGCTGCATGTCTCTGCTGCTGCTGCTGCTGCTCGACAGCAGGCGTTAAGGGAATCTGTATGGAGAGGTAGCGCAGCAGCTCCGCAGCGGCGCAGCCCGCGCACTAGGGCTTAGGGTTTAGGGTTTAGGGTTTAGGGTTTGTGTGCAGAAAATATTTGTTTGCTTTGGCTCCATCTTGACCTGCCAGCTGCTGCCTTCGCAAGAAAACCCGCAGCAGCACAGAGGCTACGGCTTTATAGAATTTGCTTCTCCAGAAGCAGCAAAACTGGCCATAGACACTATGAACGGCTTCGAGGTCGTCGGTGAGCGAGGGTTTAGGGTTTAGGGTTTAGGGTTTGCACTTCCGCGGCTTCCCGCGCGGGCTAGGGCGGGGCGCTGCTGCGTGGGCGCTCCCTGCGGCAGCTGCTGCTGCTGGTAGGGCACTTGCTGCAGCAGCAGCTGCTGCTGTTTAGGGCACTTGCTGCAGCAGCTGCTGCTGCTGCTGTTTAGGGCACTTTCTGCTTCTAGAACACTTGCTGCAGCAGCAGAAGCAGCAGCAACAGCAGCAGCAGCGTAGCTGCTTGTGTGTTTTTTTTTGCTGCAGGGAAGCAGCTGAAAGTCAACTACGCGACGGCGCTGCGGAGTGCTGCTGTTGCTGGCAGCTTGGGTGTGGGGATGGGAGCGCAGATGGCAGCAGCAGCAAATGCAGCAGCAGCAGCTGCTGCTGCTGCTGACGGTGCTGCAGCTGCTGCTGCGCTGCAGGGAGCGACGGGCGCCAACACCACTCCGCTGGGCGCGCAGCAACCTGCTGCTGCTCCTGCTGCAGCAGCAGCTCCTGCTGCAGTTTCCCCGCAGCAGCAGTCGCCGCAGCAGCAGTCGCCGCAGCAGCAGTCGCCGCAGCAGCAAGCGGGAGGTGATGCAGCAGCTGCAGCAGCACCTGCTGCAGCAGCAGCAGCAGCAGCAGCCCCTTTCCCAGAGAAGCCCAGCGGCGTTCCCGGCAGCAGCAGCATTTTGCTGCTGACGAATACTGTTGCTGCAGAAGAGGTGGATGATGATCTGAAGGAAGAGGTGATTAAAGTTTTTAATTAATTTTATTTTATTTTTATTTCAATTAATTCAATTATAATTTTTAACTATTAATTCCTCAATTTATATTTTATAATGTTTGTTGAGTTAGCTGCTTGCTTCCTTGTAACACCCCACGGAGCCCACACGGGAGCCGCACCAGCAGCAGCAGCAGCAGCAGCAGCAGCTCAATTTTAACAGATTAAAGCATTGGATGTCTAGTTTTTAAATTAGCCTTTTGATTATCTTTTACTCTTGGCATTTGTTTTGTTTGTTTGTGATTCTTTTTGAGTATTAGTATTATTTGATTGCTTATTGATTTATAAAGTATATTGTTTTTTATTTATTCATTTACTTATTTATTTATTCATTTATTTATTTATTGCGCAGATGAGAGAAGAGTGCCGCCGGTTCGGGGAAGTGGACGAAGTGCGGGTTGAAATCATTCAAGGGGAAGTTCGAATCTTTATTGCTTTTGCTGCTGCTGCTGCTGCTGCTGCTGCAGCACCGCAGCTGCACGGCCGCTGGTTTGGGGGGCGCCAAATCCAGGTGCACTTCTACGACCCAGCTGCGTACAAGGCAGGAGACTACACCAAGTAGACGCAGCAGCACTTGCTGCTGCTGCTGCTGCTGCAGTTTGTGCTGCAGCTGCTGCTGCTGCAGCAGCGGGGTGGCGTCTGTCCTATTTTTGCGGGGAGAGGAAGGGCAGAGTGCCTGACAGGGCAACCGTCGCTGCGGGGTGCTGCAGCACTATTTGCTGCTGTTGCTGCTGCAGCAACGCTTGCCGCTGTTGCTACTGCAGCAACGCATGTCGCTGTTGCTGCTGCAGCAGCGCTCCTGAACTGCTGCAGTGCAGCAGCGTCTCTCCCTTTGTGCATTTGCAACAGCAGCAGCAGCAGCAACTTACGGTGCACTGTCGACCTTTACTGGCGAGAGCAGCTGCGCTCGTGAAGACTTAAAAAGGGACGCATTATCAATGAGGGTTTAGGGTTTAGGGTTTAGGGGGACTAGGGAGCGGCTGCAGCAGCTGCAGCGCGCTGCTGCTGCTGCTGCTGGTAGTGCTGCTGCGGGTTCCCAGCAGCTGCTGCGACCTCGCCTCCAACAGTTTGTTTGGAACCCGCCGAACGTCTCCTGCCGTGGCTAGCTTCGAGGGTTTAGGGTTTAGGGTTTAGCCATCCCAAAGTGGTTCAGCTTTGTCTGCAGCAGAGCCAGCTGAAGTGTATGTACAGTGCAAAGCAGAGTAAATTGAAACTCAAACTTTAAGTATGAACAGCAGCAGCGCAACAAGCAGCAAAGCAGCAGCAGCTGCAGCAGAAGCAGCAGCAGCTCCAGCAGAAGTAGCAGCAGCTGCAGCAGAAGCAGCAGCAGCTGCAGCAGAAGTAGCAGCAGCTGCAGCAGCAGCCGGAAGCTGCCGCGACGGGATTTGAGCGCAGCGGATTCGAGGTGTAGTGGGTAAGTTTGTGATGTAAATTTGTCTAGCTGATGCCAATTATATTTGTGTGCGTTTTATCTATGTATATAAATATAAAAAAATAAAAGTGAATAATAAATAAAATATAAATGTAAATAAATATATTGTGAAGGAGGAGGTGCATGCATGCGCTGCAGTGTACCGTTCAAGTGGGCATTTGCAACGCGGTGTATATACACCTATTTGCATATATAAATTCAAAAGTAAATTTGTATTTCAACAAACACAAATATAAATATTAATTTGAGAAACTAATATAAATATTAATTTGAGCTGCTGCGCTAATTAATGAGCCTCTGCTGCTCTACTTATGCAGCATATTTAATCCGTCAGCTTTCAGCAGAAAAAGCGATCTATTAGCCGTGCAGAGCGCAGCAGCAGCAGTAGCAGCAGCAGCAGCAGCAGCAGCAGTACCAGCAGCAGCAGCAGCGCAGCGTTGGCAGCAGCAACAACGCCCCAGAAATAGCAGCAGCTGCTGCGCGTTTTCATCAGAGGAGCCCTTCTTACGATGCTGCCCAAAAACTCCTTTTTCCTTAATTTAGGACATGATTTCAGGTTAATGGTTTAGGGTTTAGGGTTTAGGGTTTAGGGTTTAGGGCTCTGGGGCCCGCCGCTGCTAGTCTGTCGGCGGTTGGCTGATTTCTTGTGGAGTGTGAAATCAAAAGGTTGAAATGAATTAAAAGAAATAAAACATTAAAATGAATCAAAGCTTTTGGTGCTGCTTCTTTTGGCAGTTTGGCTGAAGCCGCAGCAGCAGCAGCAGCAGCAGCAGCAGCAGTGGC